AACACATATTGCACTTTCAGTTTGCAAAATACTTAATCTCTTGATGATGATAAGGTTCATAGTATGTATAACAAGAAGACACCTTAGAGATCATTTAATCCAATCCCTTAATTTAACTTTGGAGGAAACTGAGGGCTATAGAAGGGAAGTGACTTGCCCCAAGGCATAAAGGGAGTGACTGGTAGCACTAGGATTTGAGCCCTGGTTTTCCAACTCCAAATCCAGTGTTGATAGTGATGATGGAGATGAAGTCCTTGGCTCTAAGGAGTATTTGTAACTTGCCTTAACTCACTTCTCCATGCCCTGGTATTCTCTTTGATTTGAAAACATTAAGCTTCCTGCTAGTGTGCTTGCAGTTGCATGCCTCCTCCTCCTTGCCTTTCCAGTTCTCATCCAGGGAAGGATTTGACTCCCCCGTTTGGCTGTAATCTCTCCCCTGTTCCTTACAAGCTCCCACCTGTGACCCTGAATATTGTTTCCACCTGGCAAAGCAGTTGGCCTGGGATGACAGATCAGAAGCAGAAATTGGACTGGTCTTCCTTGGGGCACTCTGTGAACCCTTAGATGGCAGAGTTGTTTTCTTAATTCAAGCTCTAACTTTTCCAATAATCACAGAGGGGAAAAGAAACAGTGAAGTATATGGTAAGCTTCAAACTGACTTCTATTATATCCACTGTAATCCATCGGCAATATTAGGTGTCTATTTTTTACTAATAAAAAGATTGCTGCACTGTGTGTAAGGAGACCTGAATTCGTGTCACAGCTCTAAAACTTATTAATTGTATTATCTTGGACAAATCATTTCACGTCTTTTAAGCCTGCATTTCTACATCTGTGAAATGAAGGGATTAGACAAGGTGATGCCAAAGGGCCCCTCTGACCCAGCAGTTAAATTCTCAGGAACTTGCAGTTCAGCTCAGCAGTAGTAAGAGCTGGTTAGTGTTTATATAGTGCTTTAAACTTGACTTATATCATTTCATTTGAGCTTTACAACATTGTATGAGGCAGGTAGGTATTGCAAGTAATATCCCCATTTTACAGAATGGAAAACTGAGCCTCAAAGAAGTAGCTTCGAAGTGTAAAATTTAGAGTTATAAGAGAACTTAGCAATCATCCAGTTTGTCCTCCTTGTTTTCTAAATGAGACAGCTGAGGCCCAGAGTAGGGAAGTGACTTGCCCAGGTATCTAAAGGTTTAATGTGAGAACCAAGGTTCTGCCTCAGGCATCTGCCAGATCAAAACTCAGTACTCTTCCAGTGTACTACAGCAAGATTTCGAGCGTTGGAAATAAGGGAAATGTTAAATAATATCATTAACACGTAGTATTTGGAAATGGTTTGAAGGAATTCACCGTTAAGTGCCATTTGGCAATAGATAGTGCAGTATAATGTAAAAAAACCCATTCTTGGCTTTGAATCATGGAGCCGCTGTTCAAATCCCAATTTTACCAGTAAATGGCAATGTGACCCATGACCCTGGAATGGGATTCAGGGGAATCAACTCTGTTGCTCAGTAAGCCAGGTCTAGTCATTTCTTCTCTGTAAACCTCAGCTTTCCTAACTGAAAAATAGAATGATAACATTTAAAGTAATGTACCTTATCGGGCTGATGTAATAAAGTGCTTTGTAAACTGAAAAGTGCTATGGAAATGTCACGTATTAATCTAATACATCTATTTGACTCTTGCCTGCTGTGCAGTGCAAAGCCACGCACTCAGATACAGGGATAGATACAACATTTAGCTAAGTTGTGGCCTTATCCTAATTAGTTTACCAGCAATCAGTCAGTAAACATTTATGAAGCACCTACTATGTGGCAAGCACTGGGGATACCAAAAGAAGTAAAAGGTAGTCCCTTCCCTCAAGGAGCTCACAGTCTAATGGAGGTGACAATAAGCAAAGACGTACCAAGCTGTGTTCGAGAAGGAAGGTGCTACAATCAAGAAGGATTTTTAGCTGGGACTTACATCCCCAGGCATGGGGAACAGTGAGAGACAGTGCCCAGAGCCAGGATGCAAGTGTTCCTGGAGCAGAGTGCATGGTGGAGAGTAAAGTGTGAGAAAACTTGAACCTATAAGGGGATAAGAGACAAACACAGGTGACTCTAATAGGTAGTGAAACAAAAGGGCACATTGTTTAGTAGAAAGAGCCTAGGATTGGGAGTCAGAAGACCCAGGTTCAAGTCATTTACTATGCGTGGGAACTTCAGCAAGTTATACTAGTCATTATTTATTTACTCTCTTGGTAAAGTTTTCACCTCTATAAAATGAGGAACTTGAACTAGGTGATCTCTAAAGCCCCTTCAGTTCTAGTATTTTATGTTTCCGGATCCCATCTTTTTTTTATTGATCAGAGTTCTTAAGGCTTTCAGAGTTTTTTTTCTTTACATTCTTGTTCTCATGTAAGTTGTTCTCCTGATACTACTCATTTCACTGATCAGTTCATGCTAACTCGGATTCTCTCAATGCAACTTTACATTATATTCGCATACCACAATTTGTTCAACCATTCCCCAATTGACAAGTGCCTCCTTAGAGTCTAGTTCGGCACTTTTTTATAACCTTTCAATCTGCCACTTCAGATCAGGAAGTTTATTTTGCTTGTGATTATTCCTACTCCCTTGTCCCCACTCCTCATTATCCCCGTATTTCCTTGTTGAGTTTAATGTATTTCTAGACCAAATTCACGTGGGTGGGTGGGTGTGTATTTTCAGCCGTCCTTGTCTGCATCGGATAGGAGTAAGATTCATCTGATACGTATGTCTCCCATCTCTTTCTCCAAGTTTATATATGCTCAACAAGCGCACTCATTATGAGAAATAGTAAGTTGTGCCCCTTTTTCCTCCTTTCTATACCAATGTATTTTTTTCACCGTCCCTTCTCTTTGCCCTCTTAAAACTCTATGAACACCCTCCCACCCCTCAGGTCTCCTCAGTTTTTCATTAACTCCCTCAATATTCTTTGAAGACATTAAGGTTCTAAAGGGAAATTTGTTTCTTCTCCCCTATTAGAATGTTAGCCTTCCATCATCATTCAACCCCTTCCAATTGCTCAAATAAATTTACCTTTCTAGATTTCATTTGGCTCTAGTGTTTGTATTTCAAAGTTTCTACTCATCTCTGATGCAAAGACCAAAGCTGAGAGTGAGCTCTGGTCTTTTGTTCAGAAGTGCTTGAAGGTCCTGTCTTCCATGAAAGATCCACATTCCTGACCCCCCACCCCTGGAGTATTATGTTTATCTTTGCAGAGTAAGTTACTCTTGTTTGTGGGCATTTATGTTTTGCCTTTTGGAATATAATATTCCAAGATTTCCTGTTTATAGTAGAAACTGACAAGTTTGGTGTGACTATGGTACTGGAACTCCTTTATGGATGCTTATAGTTGGGTTTTGGCTTGGTTTTTTTGGGTTTTTTTTTCCTTTGAATTTGGAGCTCTGGAGAATCTGGAGCTCTGGGATATTTTTCTTTGGGGATTCCTTTCAGGTGAATTCTGGCCCAACTTTGCCCTCTGGTTCTAACAAATCTGTGTAGTTTTCCTTTATTATTTCTTGAAATATGATGTTTAGATTTTTTTTGATCATGGTTTTCGGAGAGTCTCTGATTCTGAAGTTTATCTCCTATTTTCCAGGTCCGCTGCTATTGCTGCTGTTCTTCTTTAATACTTTGTATTTTTTTTTAATCTTTGGATTTTGTTTTAGTGTTTTTGCTGTGTAGAATACCACTTTTCTAAGCAATTAGTTCTTCTAGTTCTTTCCTGAAGAGCTTTTGTTTCATTTTTTTATGTCTTTTATGCTTCTAGGTTATCATGTAGTCTTGGTAGAAAAATCTTTTTTTTCCTTTGAGTCTCTGCTTACAGTTGTTAGTTACTTTCTACTTTTAGGCTGGATTTGGGGGCATCTCTAGATTTTTTAAAAATTCTGGTCAATATTTTCTTTGTTTTATTCATCTCTCCAGCTTTAGTTCTTGAATCAAGACTTTGTGCCAGGACCAGGCCATCGGTCTGGTTGTTGGTCCTGGTTGATCTTGCCCTGAGTTCTTGTGTTGACCTTTGCTTTCTGCAGTTAGCCACCCCCCCCCCTTTGGATCTTTGAAGTTCTGAGTGCTAGATCATCAGGACCCTCTGTGTTATCTCAGGTTGGAGTGCTAGAGCCTTCCCTGGTTGTGTGTATGTGCCTGGACCATCCTGGTCTCAGCACTGCTACGCTGCCCTGGTCACTCATTCTCTGGGGCTTCCAGGGTCCCCCATGGGATTCTGACCACCCTGGAGATTTCTTAGGGAAGCCCTCTAATCTTTCTGTCTGCACTGGGAGGCTGCCCATTTGTTTACATACACTGACCCTGGCTTTGCTGATGGTCCCCTTTCCTGTTGCACCAGGCTTTTGACTGACTTTTTGTTTTAGTTCTTTTTTTTTTTTTGAGCTAGGCAATGGGGTTAGGTGACTTACCCAGGGTCACACAGCTAGTAAGCGTTATGTGTCTGAGGCTGGATTTGAACTCAGGTCCTCCTGAATCCAGGGCCAGTGCTCTATCCATTGCGCCACCTAGCTGCCCCCTCATTTATAGATTTTGAGCACTGGAATGACAGGAGGAGATTTGTGCATTAGAAAAATTAGGCAGCAGTATGAAGGATGGATAGATACAAGTTTTATTGGTGCTGTAAGGAGTGGGTAGGGGGTTGGCCTCAAGAAGGAGGCATCATAGTAGAGTTTAAAATCACTAGATTTAGACTAGAATCTCCACTATTCTACTGAGCAACCGTGTGACCTTGGGCAGGTTACTTAAATCTGTTTTAGTCACAATCTTATTTGTAAAATAAAGAGCTTGGACTAAACGATATTCTACAATTTCTACAATATTGTGTTTTAAGGGATCTTCTGGTTGCATGTTTTAACACTATATTCTAACGTGCACTACATCTCTGAATCTATCATTTATGCCCCCCAACTTTCCTGGGTGCCCTAGCCCATGTACCACCTGAAATGTATGTCCTCATCTTCCCTACAGATTTAGTGAAGAAGGGATGGAGGTGATGGAGCGACTGATCTACCTGTATCGCAAGTTTCACCAGCTGAAGGTCAGCAACGAAGAGTATGCTTGCATGAAAGCCATCAACTTCCTCAATCAAGGTGAGTGTGGGGACAAGGCCTTTTTCAGAGTTAACTACTACCTTGATAACAAACCTGCCCCTCCTTTAGTAGCTCCACAAGTGGGACCAACATCCTTCAATTTCCCCTAAAGAGGTGAAATTCAAAAGGGAAAAATATAAAGTCCTGCACTTGAGTTCAACAAAATCAGCTGTAGAAAGTTAGGTCGAGGCAGATATCCAAATCACTTTGGAAGATTTAGGGACCTTCAGCCTCAAGGTAAGTTACCAGTGTGACATAGTGACCAGAGTCAACTTAAATTTCATGAATAGAAGTGTAGTGTCCAGATCAAGGAAGGTGCCCGACTGTTGTCCATCCTGGTCATAGTATATCTAGACAAATGTATCCAGAAGAGGCAACCAGAAGAGTGAGGCCATGCACCCCCTGCTAGAAGTGGAGTGATCAGAGTAACTAGGGACATTGTAGCCTGAAGCAAAAACTGAGGAAGGAAGATGAGATGGACATCGTCATTATATTAAAATATCTGAAGGGTTGTCAGGTAAAAAAGGGATTTGATTTTTTTCTGCTCAGCCCCGGAGAATAGAACCAGGAGTAGCGGAGGGCTAGTTATAGAGAGAGGTGGGTTCTAGTTCAGTATAAAGATAAACTTGCTGACAGTGAGAACTGTCTGACCCTGCCACAGGCAGCCCGGAGGAGCAGGTCCATTGTAGTGCCTAATTTCCCATGCTAGTTCCTTGTCCTTGGAGATCTTCCATCAGAGGCTAGATGATCACTTTTTCGAGGTATGATAAAGGGGCACTTCTATTATACATTATGGTTGTAGCCATGATATTGTGATAAGAGCGCTGGACTTGGGAGTCAAAGGACCTGGATATCTTGGCTATTATTTTACTGTGTGATCTTGGTCAAGTCATTTCTCTCTAGCCCCAGTTTCCTCATCTGGAGAATAAATGAGTTGGAGGAGATAGTCTCTAATGCCCCTTTCAGCTCTGATTTCTGTGGTTTTAGACACCTGCTAAGCTCCCTTCTGGTTCAAGTACTCTCACATTTGAGGGCATAGGCATGGCAGGTTCATGGTCCCCTTAGTACAGGGAAAGTCATCTAGTATTTTTCAAAAATTAAAGTGCAGCAATCCTATAACTCACGGAGGAAGGAAGAGACTCCACTTTGTTTAGTCCATTTTAATGCATTTAAACATAGACACCAAGGACAGTACATGCGTCATGTAAAATACGTCCCAAGTTTACTAGCAGCTAAGGAAGAACAGAGTGAGTGATGAAGCCGGCCTAGATAAGACTGATGTGACAGATTGCCAGTTCTGAAAGCCCAATCACGGCATGACGGTATTGCACAAAAATGCTGTTTGCAGATGAATGAAGCATTATGTTTCCCTTCTCGTGTATGTTATTCTGCATTGGAAAGGTGCATGGCATACTTTTTATCTCAGTTGTTAACTCTAAAACACTTCTTTCCAGGCTCTGGGCTATGTGCTCCAGGAGCAAATTTCTGCTACACCACATTACACAGGTATTGTGATTAAAAAGAGGGGAAAAAAGGAGAAGCAAGAGACTTAGAATCAGAAGATTTCTTTTCAAGTCCCAAATACTTACTAGCCCTGTGACCTTGGACAAGTCAGTGTATCTTTTAGATCCTCCATTTCCCAATCTGTCAAATGAAGAGAATAAGGTTTGCACTCCCCACCTCCCAGGGTCTTTTGTTGACCACTGCATCTACCACCTATCAGCCGTAGGACCTTGAGCAGACTACTTAAAGTTTCCTATTTATGAGACAGGAATAGTAATGTTTCTGTCACCTTTTCCACAGAGCTGTCATTAGTCTTGGCTCCACCGCTTGGCATGACCTTGGGAAAGTCTTTTGGCCTCTCTGTGGAGAATGTGGCAAATACTGTACACTTGAAAAGTGGGGAATGTTATACCCTTCTAGGATGCGGTCACTATTCATTGTCAGTCACACCCTCTTTAAGCAGGCCACTTCTTTTCCCCGTGAGCCTTTCTTTAAACCTCTGTTCATTTGTTCTTATACTGCTTAATTCCCTATGGGCAAAGCCCAGTCCCTCTCAGAAAGAAAGAGAATTGTTATTTTCAGAATAATAAGAACAGCTCCCATCTCTTTAGAACTACTAAGGTCTACAAAGGACTTTCCTCACAGTGTCCCTATGAGACAAGTTAGGGGACTTTGGCAAATTGACGTGCACATTCATGTCCAGTGCCTTTATTTATTTTGCTTAAATGTGTTTGTTTGTTACAAGGGAGAGCTTTTTGCTCATTTTAAATTTAGGAAGGAGAGAAGAACTAGTGATGGAGATACAAAAGAAAAATGAAGGAGAAAAAAGGGTTGTAGCATTTTTCGTAAATGCTGAAGAAAACAGAAGGAGGTTCAGAAGGAGACGGGTGGGACAGCTTTAACACTACCATTTGAGTTTTTTAAAGACAGGCTCTACATAATAGGAATTAGTGGCTTCACGTACAATCGCTTTTCGATTCATTGTCTTTTCTTCTGTATGTGAGGAAATGAACCTGTTCAATAATGTTTGTCAGGCACAGAATAACAAAAAAAATTCAAAAATAAACTCAAGAGATAAGTATATAGGTTTTATCACTCCCGTTTTACAAGTGAGGAATACTAAGGCTCAGAGGGGTGGCCTGACTTGCCCAAGGTTCCTCATGTCATAAATAGCTGAGCTGAGACTGGAATCTAGCTTAAGTAAGCCATACAAAGCTACCAAAAAAAAATGTATTTAAATAACTCTTAAGGATAGAATCAGAATTTCCGAGCTAAAAGCAGCCACAGAGGGCATGTAGTCCACCCCCTCCCTTTACAATATCCCCAGTAGGTCATCGCTCAGCTTCTACTTAAATACTTTCAATGATGGGAAGCTCACCACCACTCCAAGAAGGCCATTTCAGTCTTGGTCGTCTCTGTTAGGAAGTTTTTGTATGTTGCACCAAAATCTTTCCCTTGGTGATTTCCAGCCATTATTCCTGGTTCTGTGCCATGGGACCAAGAAAGACGAGTGTAGGTCCCTTTTCCAAATTTCTCCCTACACATACTTGAACGTGGGTCTCGTGTGTCCCTCTTAATCTGCGTGTGTGTGTCTAACTTCCCTTTCCTAACCATTTTGCTGCACATCCTCAGATATCCGGGGCCTGACAAATGCCTCGCAGCTGGAGCAGTTGAACAAGCGGTATTGGTATATTTGCCAGGATTTCACTGAGTATAAGTACCCTCACCAACCAAATCGTTTTCCTGATCTAATGATGTGTTTACCAGAGATACGATATATTGCAGGTAACTCTCCCTTTCCCTCTGCTTCCCTCCTCCCCTTTCCTCTCTCCCTTCTTCTTCTGTTTCCCCCCCACACTTCCTTTTCCCTTTCCCCACAATCACTCATCACCATCAAGGCCTTAATCCTGCAGACATTTTCAAAGAAAGTTCTTAGTTCTTTCTCCGTTGTTCCTTCCTTCACCTCTCTTTTGGCTTGTGACTAGAAGGCAGGAGACTTGGCCCTGGCTTTGTCATGTGAGACTTTGATCAAGTCACTTGTTTTTTCCTGGGCCTCGGTTCCCTCATCTGTGAAATGAGGGCAATTGACGAGATGATTTCTAAGATCCCTTTCACCCTTAACATTCAGGGTTCCAAGATCTCTTCTATGGATAACGATCTGTGTGCTAAAATTCAGTGTTCAGTGTTGTAGCATTCTCTACTTTGAGATCCCCTCTGTCTCTTAACATTGTGTGTTCTGACGTTCTGTGTATATTGTAACAGATCTATTTTCTCAGAGTCTTCCTGTCTCTAACATGCCATATCTAAGGATATGTCCAGCTCTGACAGAACAACCTAGAGAAATGAATGCAAGGCTTCAGAGAGCTCTAACAGACTCTCACAGCTCTTCCATAAGACTTGCCAGAGCTTTGGCGCATCCCCTTGTGTTTCTGTGGCCTCTCTCCTCTAAACACTGCCTAGGGAAGGGAGACTGTGAGTTTTGCTCTAACTCATTCTCTTTTCTCTTCTTCCCCCGCCCCCCCCCCCCAGGAAAGATGGTGAATGTGCCTCTGGAGCAGCTGCCGCTGCTTTTTAAAGCTGTTCTGCACTCCTGCAAGACAAGTGGGAGCAAGGAGTAAGCCCGCCCAGCCAGCTCCCTGCCTTGCGCCCCTGCCAGGGGAGCACGGGGCTCACGAGGAGAAAAATAGGAGAGCCGAGACCAGGATGGAGGCAGCCCAGCACTGCCCCTCTAGCATGAATCTTTTTTGTTTGTTTGTTGTTTTTTAAAAAACTCATTTTCTATATATTTATTTCACGACAGAGTTGAATGTATGACCTTCAACACAATGCACATACTTCTGTATGAATTTAAAGATGCATTTCCTTGCAGTTTACAGAATGTGAGAATGTTTAATGTTACAATGTTGTCATTAATTAGGTCTTGTTCTTCTTTATATTTGAGGGGTGGGGGGGTGGGGGGAGCTAACTATTTCAATAGTGTTGACTAAGACTACCTCAAGGAAAAGGTGGTATTCAAGTACTGACTTTTCCCTTATTTTCTCAGCAGACCTCACAGGTTTGAGCCAGAGAGCAAACTGTCTTTTTCTACCAGCAAACGCTAAGCAAATGTACACCCGCCATCAGTCTTGGGAAAGTGGCTTGGGGCTTTTTTGTTGGTTAATTTTTTCAGTTGATATATTAAGCTAAGAATCAAGGTGGGCAGAGCACAATTTAGCCAGCTGGCCAGCTAGCTAAATTCATCTCTGGGAATGAAGGCCTTTGAAATTATTTCATCATAAAATCACTGGATTTAGAGCCAGAAGGGAGCTTGGAGATCCTCTGGTAACAGAATATTAGAGTTGGAAGGGAACTGAGAGACCATCTAGCCCAGCCAGTACCTTAACCTACGTTTCCCTTGACAATGTCCTCAACAAATGGTCATCCAGCTTCCACTTGTCCAACCCTGGGGTTTTAAAGAGGAAAAAGGAAGGAGCTTGTGGAGGGTCACACAGATATCAGGTAGCAATGACAGTATTAGACCCTGGGACTTCTTGACTCCATATCTAACATTCTTGTCACTACACCACATTGGATCTCAAACTTTTCCCCAACTTCAAACTCCTCTCTCTTCATTGAGGAGGAAGCTAAAGGCCAGGGAAGCAGATGGGGGAATTAATCTGTACAAATGAGTACTCCAGGTTCAAGAGTGCCAAGGCCTTCTCTTGATATCTCTGTTCAGGTGACCATTTTAAACAGCCACCTTTCCAAAGAGAAGGGAAGGAGTTGGTACAGGAAGTCCTCCAAAGTCCTGCCTTCTCCACCAGATTGGAGATCTGAAGAGAGAGCTGCTCCTTCCTTGGCCTTGGAATATTCCATTGCTTTCATCAGAGCCTTGATGATGATCAGCAAATTTCATTTCAATAAGACGCAACAAACATTTAAGTGACTCCTTTGTTCAGAACTCTGGGTTGAAGATCTGGGAAAAGACCAGGTTTAAATCAGACACCACACCTGCCATTCATCACATTCATAGTCTAGATGCCAAAGTAAAATGTTATCTAAGTGAATGAGAGAGGAGAAGAACAGGATGCTTTGCAGGCATCACCCTGGTCACCCAACAAACATTGATTAAATGCCTTCAAGGCCTCCTTCCAGACCCTAGGGATAACCAGCTTGATAGGACACCAACCCTGCAGTGGCATGGATAAGGACTGTCCCAGGTAAAACATCAGCCTGTCTCACTGGTCTGGTGTGGAATGGCTAACCATTCTGTCACCAAAACTTTTCTAACCCTTTCCCCTTCTTCTTCATGTCTCCAAACCTACACGTTTTTTTTTTCTCTCGCTGGAAATGTCAGAGTTGTGGTAGGCAGTTAAAAGGACCAGTTGATCATAGGCACTGAGACAAGGCTCAGGTACTCTAGAACCTTGAAACTGATTCTTTCCCCTTTCTTCACTGTTGCTTCCTCTACTTTGGAATGGTATGAAATGTTAGAAGACCAAGGATGCTTTTCCTCCACTACCCCCTAGGCCCTGTATTTAACGTGGGAGGGGAGCAATTCAGAGCAATAGGATAGGCCTACCTGTACTGTCTGTGACTGCTCTGAGTGGATTTAGAAAGGACTTTTCTCCAAGGCCTTAGAGCTATCTGTACCATCCAGGAGGCCTGCCTCTCGTTTCCTAATGAGGTTGAAAAGATACACAAAGATGGAACCAGGTTCCCTTCAAGCACTAGGACTTGAGATGAGAAAATATGTCTCCAGATGAAATGTACTGCCTTAAAAGGTGGTGAATTCCCTTATCAATTATTTGTACAGAGATTGGATGCCTATTTGGGGGTACCTGGGAGGGGACTTCAGATCAAAACTGAACTAGATGCACTCGGAGATCTCTTCCAACTCTACAGTTCTGTGAATCGGGCCAGTTAGCCCTAACCAATGTTTACCATGCTACTGTCCTGCTAAATGCCCTGGCCAGGGAGGTGTGACTCTCTAAACTACCTCACATATTTTCAGGAAAGATCACACCCTCTGTGAGCTGGGACTAATAGACTTGGGAGCTGCCCAAAGGTTCTGGGGTGATGATTTGTCCCAGGCCCTAAACTAGCCCAGTTTCCATGCATACTCAGGCTAGGCCTTCCCTGTGTGAACCTGGGCTAATGGAAACCTGTTCAGTAGAAGGCCATGTTTGCTCTCTTGCTCAGTCTTGCAAATCTTCCCAGGTGACCTGTTCCTCTTTTCTGGGTAGTCTGTTTTGGCCTTTAATCCTTTGTAATGGATTGAGACGTTACGGGTATATAACCGCTGCTGGGACCAGCAGAGCTATCATGTTATATTTCTCCCTGGATTGGAAAATTAGAGTTTCCCCAATAGCATGTGTTCCCCAAATCCAGTAAGCACGTATGGCTCAGTATCACCTCTTACGTGTGTGTATGTATACAAATATGCATGTGTATGTGTGAATATACATGTATATATATATGCATATCCATATCTGTATATGTGTATATCCACATACATTTCCATGCATCATCAGGATAAATCCTGCCTCCACAACATCGTGAGTGGCAGTGGCCAAATGTGTTTATCTACCTTGATGGTCAGCCTTCTGGCCACTTGGCCTGGTACTCCAGTGATGAACACAGTTTGTTTCTGGGCCCATCCTTGAAGCCTTTTCCACACAGGCCAATCAGAACTTGAGTGCTGGTGGCAGCCGTTAAGGGCCCAGGGTCCCCTCCATCCCACAAGTGGGTTTCAGAAGGGGACCTTAGTAGAAAACACGATGTATATGTGTATATTTCACGTGTACACTCACACCTGATTATCCATGGGAAGATTTCTGTTTGGTTTGTTTATTTCTAAGCTCGAAATGCTTTCCCCGTTTTCTTGACTTGAATGTTGCGACTGTGATCTCCTTGTAGGCAGGTTAGTGCTCTGCTCTTTTCCTCTCCGGGGCAGGAAGGGAAGGCCCTTAGCGGTTCTGATCATTAGTCCTGGTGAATGGGCTCTGACGCTACCAGGGTCCCCACCTCACCTCCTTCGCATTCTCAGTTGCTTTTCTTGTAAAACTGAGCTTTTGCTCTGTCTGCTTGCAATTATTCCCTAATCAATAAGAACCTACCAGCCCAAATAATGCAATGTTTAACAGCACAGTGTTCATTTTTAAAGGGAGGAGAAAGGTTCTGTGAGTTGCTTTTGTGCAAATCCATTTTTGCCAAATGCCAATTTACAGCAAATTCCTTGAACAAAGGGCCTCTTCATTCCCGAAAGGAGAAGAGTGGAGCAAATTGTGTAAGCAAATGACAAGGGTACCAAGCTGGAGTCTAACCTGTGGACAGCCGCTAATGTCTTCTGCACCAAGTCCTTTGAAGACTTGTGTTTTTAAACAGGGTAAAGTGAATGTGTTGCATTGCAAACTCAGGTATTATGATGAGAAGATAGTGTAGCTAGCAATGTAGAGACATTAGGTCAGCCACTAGATGTATTTGTGAATTTGGTTTTGAAGGACACAGTATAAAGGTTGGAGGGTTGTATGTGTGTGTGGGTGTGTGGGTGTGTGTCTTGCCATTCTTCCCATAATGCAGGGAGCCTTTTTGCCAGTGGAAGAAAAAATCTGTGTCTCAGATCCCTCTCTTTTCTGTCACCTCTTAGACCTTTTGCCACCAACAGCCGTCACTTTCAACAAAAATTTCCTGCATGAAAATACAGCTTTGAAAGCCTGAGGAGAAGAAAGCCAGTCTGCTTGAGCTGTGCTGATTTTTTTGTTCTTTTAATTTCCTTTGTCTTGAGCAAAGGTTTGGAACTTTATTGCTCATGCTTCATGTCTGGTTCTGAGCCACTTTGGCCAGGGTCAAACTGTGGTGATTAGATATCCTAACAATGCCATCTGCTAGGGTGATACTTAGGTGTGCCTTCGACATTCAAACCGGGGGTCTTGTCCTCCAGGGATCACCACAGCAGTACCTAGTTTCCCCTGCCCAAAACACTCCACTGAGAAACTTATATCTTGCCTGCCTGTGGCTAGGCACCAAGGTGGCCGTAGGAAGAAAGAATAATAATTAGTCCCACTTCTGCAGTAGTTTGAGCCCTAAGTGATAGGGCATACATTTTACAAATGAAGAAACTAAGGCCCAGAGAGATCATAGGGCAATAAATGTAGATCTGGAATGGACTTTAGAGGGTCTATCTAATCTGTTTCTCTTGATTTATGGTTGTGGAAACAGGCCCAGAGAGAATATAGTAATTTGCTATAATAGCCTGTATTTGAACCCAGATTCTATTTGCAAATGCATTGAACTCAGGCCACTCTATAAAATCATATAGGAAGTGGGAGAACTAGTCAGGATTCGAATCCATGGCTCATGATTCCATTGTTCCTTCTTCCCTGTTCCCCCCTACCCCCACGCTTTTCACAACTGCACTTCTGATAATCTTCTAACTGGGTCTTGCCCTCAATCCTCCTTAGTAATAGGAGAGATTGATTTTGGCAGAAGGGGTACCCAAGTCACTTTCCAAGCACTGCTAGAATACTGTTGTGAGGTTGACACTCCCAGATAACAAGGCCCTTGTTGTCTGACTCCTTTGCATTCAGTCTCCTGAAGTCCTCCCCTGGGTGTGCCTTGGCCAGGAGGGCATTCCTCTTTTCCCCCACCCCTTCATAATCTGACAAATGAAGTTTGAGAACCATCCAATAGTAATGCTGCAATCCTGGGCAAGGACTTTAAAACCCCAGGAAATAGAGAACTGCCTTACAAAACCTCATATTTCCTGGCTTTATGTTTTTAATTTCCTTGGGGGATGGGTGGGTTTAAACAATCAAGTGATTTAAAAAAAAAGTCAAACCCATCTGCTTCTCAGGTATCGATGAACCTATAACCTGTTAGGACCCTTACCTCAACCCCATCCTCCAATTGGCCAGTATCTCTTGTCCAAGCCTCAAAGGGGCCATGTACTGTAACTTACTCTTGTAAGCCTGATCTGTGTTGCAAGAACCCTTCTAGTCCTAATACTCTATGATTCGGAGGCTGAATTCTACCAGCACGGACCACTTCTACCATCTCTTGGTGTCAATTACCCTTACTATGAAAATGGACTAGAATCTAGATAATCTCTAAGGTCTCTTCTATCCCTAAAAATCTATCATCAGTGACTATATACAAAGGTGAATTCCCATAACCTATTAATTAAACCATATTATCCGTGGGGAAAGGTGTCAAAACCCCAGGGTATTTTGCAGAATTCCCTTAAATGTATCAAGATGTTTTTGCTGCTTTCTAGCAAAACTTGTGCTACTACCATGACCTTACATCATGTAGATGAGCAGTGGTTCCAAGTCTTTAGCTCAGAGTCAATGTGGGCCTTCAGGCCCACTTGGCCCAACCCCTGAGCCTGTTGATCTAAGTAAGGCTCCAGAGCCCCTTCCTACCTGTTTCCTAGCAAGGTATGTGGGTGGCCATCTTTCCACCTTCATTTCAATTTTATAAAATCTTGTGTTAAGTTCTTTATCAAATAACTTTTTTTCTTAAACTTAAAATTTTTCTACCCCTATTACCTTTTTTTTTTTAACTCCCCACACCACAAAAGAAGAAAAAAACCAATAGAATGAAACTACTCACTCTCCCACTCCAGGACCATGCCCTTCAATATTGTTCGTCCTTTTCTCATTTTTATTTTGGCTGGAGGTTTCAATGCCAACTATCTGTAAAGAGGTTTCTGTGTCCTGAGAAAAAGTGGCTTTCTACTCTGGGAGAGGCGAAAGGATAGAGGAATGAGGGACTCAGGGACAGAAACTAAAGGCCAGTGCTGACGCTTCAGGCATCTCATGTTGTAGGGTTTCTGGGGGTGCCCTGTGTCAAGTGTGGCACAGGCAGAAGCTCAGGGATATATATATTTAAATACAGAACCCACAGAAACCCTCACCTTGATGTGACTGCAATGGATGGCTTCTTTCCAAGGCTTTTCAGGTGCTTCAGAATCAGGACATGCTGCCTAGATTTTCCCAAACCTATTCTAAGCAAGATCCGAGGGCTATTTCATATCCTCTGTCTTCCAGGTGGGTTGGTTTGGTTTTATGGGAAGAATTGGAATTTCTACATTTGGTTTTTGGAAACTTCAGATTCAAAGACCTTTGCAATGGACTAGTAAGCTAGGTAGGAAGTTGTAGTTATGCCTGGTCAAAGATGTGGCAGTGTTGGGGAAAATCCCAGGCAGGTATGGAAATACGTGATGAACATATTTTTAGAACTCAACTTTTGTACTCTTTCCCTGGAGCTGGGACTCTTAGGAAAAAACCTTTGTTAGAGGACAGTGGGTTGTCTGCCTTTCCAGGGCCAGTCCTGTTCTAGCCAAGCACAATGGGATCTGAACCAATGCAGGTGGAGGGCATACCCATCCCCAGCAGCATCAGAAGGTCAGACCCAAAGTTATCCAATAATCCCAAAGCTCTTAAGGGAGGCCAGGTTAATTCCAAGATCCCCCTGGAAAGCCTCATGACTAGGGAAAATTTTAATTAGAATTGCCATCAGATTTAAGTCCCTCCTCTTGGGTTTGATCTTAGTAAACTTGTAAAAATAAAGGCTCTCCTCATTTTTGCCTCTTCCCTACAAGGCTCTCCTCCCTGATATTCCAGCTTGCAGGGCAGATATTAAATAGTAACTCATTTATTATGCATGCCCTTTGAAATGACCAAATGCAGGATAACTAAATCAGCTAAGTGACTTATCCACTGTCATACAGCTAGCAAGTATTAGAGCAGAGATTCAAATCCAAATATTCTGACTCTTTAGATTATACCATATTGCCTCCAAGTCTGAGGTTTGGAAAACAGCCTTTGTATTTGTAAGGGGTTGAGTTTCTTGTGAGACCTCTCTCTCTCTCTCTCTCTCTCTCTCTCTCTCTCGCGCGCGCACACGCACACACACACACACACACACCCCTCCCTCTACCAGTCAACATCAGGCCAAGACCACCAAGAGTGGGGGGATAGCCACTCTTTCCTAGTCTAAGACAGTCCTTCAAAGCCTGTGAAAAAGCACCATGCTAGTATCAATCACCCTTGGTTCCAAGCTGGTCACAATAGTCAGCTTTAGCCCTGCTGGGTCCTTTTGTGATTGTTTTTCTTTCTGTAAAATGTCTTGTAATAGTTGATAACGTTGACTCAAATTTCCATACAAAACAAACTACCTCTTATGTCTAAGGATGTGTGGAGAAAGAATACTGTGATGTTGGTTCTGTTTACATGTTTCTTTGGGGGGGGAGAAGGGAGATAGGAAATCCACTGTGGGGGATGGAAATGCTTTTTTCTGTGCTGCTGCTCTGGAGGTGATATGTTATGATGTCTGCTGATTCTGTTTGCCCAAAAACAGGGTTCCTTCGTCTACCTAGACCACCTTCTTCCCCAGGAGTCCCCATAACTCCAGGGCCTAGAGCAACTGGGCCCAACTCTTCTCAGGGAGAGAAGATCTAGATAGTGGGGGAAGGTATCTGACTCTTTATGAGCTAGGACTTCTATCCCACCCTCTCCTGCCCCAGGGGCAGGCATTCAGTCAGAAGCCAGCCAAGGTCTTTGAAACCATCCTGAGCAGCCCCATTAGCAGTGCTGGGCACTAACAGGGTTCTTTTATGAATCCGTTTCCGTAGAAAATGTACCAATGACCTTACTTCTACTGTGTTTACTTGGGTGGGCCCTTCCACTGTACACCTGTGACAGATAATGGGGAGAAACTCTGGACTGGACCCTGCCCCTGCCCCCCACCCCCCATTGGTCTCTAGCCCTAGATCTTGATTTGCCCTTCACCTTGGCCTGTGGCCAGGCAGCCCACCCCTGGGGATGGATCTTGGCTCTCTGGATCACCAGCTTTGGGTTGGTCATCTCTCCTTGGAAGCTGCATTGTGTTCCTCACTCCCAGGGTGGTCCCTTGTGTAAAATCAGGCTTCTGGGTCATCACCTCCCCAGAACCCACAGTGAGCATGTCACAATGATGTGCCGTGGTGCAGGGCTGACCTCCCCATCCCTACCCCCACCTTCAGGAACTTGTCCAATTTCACTTAGACTGTGACCAAGCGATTGTTGAGCATTGCAGGCTGTAAGGCAGATGGCCACATTAGCCGCCACCTCCCTATCCAGCCCTGCTCTGTGAATTGACTACCTGTGGAAATGTGACCAATTAGTGTTTAGTGAGTGTTAGATATTTTAACTAATAAACATGAATCATTCTGCACACAGATTGGTCTGAGCTGTTTTCTTGGATGAGGGTGGGGTGAGGGAAAGGTGGTGGGAAGGAAAGACTGGGTAGCTCTATGTAGCAGGTGACAGGATCAAAGTGTTTCTAGGGAAGGAATGAGGCATCACCTTCATAAAGACTCAGAGAATGTTGAAACTAGCCAGAACTTAACGATGTTCGATCTAGAACAAACCTTAGACCAGAGTTTTCAAAACACATTGCTTAAAACACTCCTGAGTGTAGCCTAAACCAGATTAAAAGGTAACTGGGACATATTGAACAAAATAAAGAAAAAAACAGCAAAACATGCCATCGTTCCATTTGTGTCCCACTCTTCATGACCCCATTTGGGGTTTTCTTGGCAAAGATACCGGAGTGGTTTGTCATTTCCTTCTCCAGTCCATTTTACAGATGACGAAACGGAGGCAAACAGGGTTACATGACTTGCCCAGGGTCACACAGCTAGGAAGTGTGTGGGGCAGGATTTGAACTCAGGAAGAAGAGTCTTCCTGACTCCAGGCCCCAAGCTCCATTCACTGTGCCACCTAGCTGCCCCTATAATGAAATAGATCATGTTAACGTGATTTTTCCAAGTCTTATGTACCATTTAGTGGTTCTCGTTTCTGAGGTTGACACCACTACCTATAGAATGTTGAAAGTAGAAGGGAACATGACAACATAAAACAATGCTGGAAAAGACCTTAAAACCCACAACTTTAGGGTTGGAAGGGTTCATGGAATAACCACTGGACTTGATTTAATGTTTTAAAAGGCACTTTACTTAAAATGGTCTCCTTTAAGCCTTAAAGCAACCCTAAGAGGGAAGGATTCCCATTTTATAGAAGAGGAACCCAAGGCTCAGAAAGGTTAGGTGCTAACTCATGTTTACAGAGCTAGTGTTGGAAGCAGGATTTGAACCCTAGTCTTCCTTATGTCTAACAAGACCCTTCTCCCTCAGCCCCCACCCCAGCAGCTTCACCACTATGTCAATCTTCTCTCAATGTAGAGACTGAAGGGACTTTAAAAGGGTCCTCTATCCCATCCCTTCTCATTTTCTGGGAAAAGCCCTGAAACTTCATGAGGGAAGATGCCTGGAATACTGGGCAGGTTCCTAAAAGGCTCTGGCCTAAACCCCTCACCCACACTCCCTTGGCAAGCTCCTGCCGTAGACATGGCCCAATCATCTCCCCTTGGCCGCCTCACTCACAAGGACCAGCCTGTGATAAGAAGGTAGGGAGAACCCTGCGGCTGAGCCTAGGGGCTCCTGGAGAGATGTTTCCTTGGCAACCGGGCCCATGTGGAAGGCCTCACCATGACTACTACTGCACCCTCCACCCTTCTTCAACAGCTCCTTCTGCCAGCTGTAGGCCCTTGCTGATGGGTTCAGTTTCTAGGCTACTGAAGCTGCTTAGGGTTAGCCATAAAGATGCACTTTGTCACAGCAAAGGGAGGCAGTGGGGCTATTGAAGTGTCCTAGCCAGGAGACCGGAGACCTGTATCTCCTGTCATCCTTTGCACCTGGTCAAGACAGTTTACTCTTGGGACCCCAGTGTCTTCCCTAAAATGTATGAGACAGTGTTTGTCCATGTGTGAACATGATTTCTAAAGCCTCTTCTTTCTTATTCTAATGATCTGTGTTCCAAGGGCCCCCCACTGCTAACAATCATTCTAGCTACTATGGCTTAACAACATTAGGCTGTGAGATCCCTCCCAGTTGTGTGAGATGGTGCCTCACGGCAGGGCCTCTTCAGTTTCTACCATTGTTACCTACTACCTAGGTGACTTCAGACAGATCACTTCCTCTTGCTGAGTCTTGTTTCCTTCTTCCTTAAAGTGATGAGGTTGGATGAGTGGCTGCTGAGGTCTCTTCAAGCCCTAAGCCCAGGATTCTAGGAAGAGGCTGAGTCACACATGGCCCACCAGAAGCAGTCAGGCCTGCCCATGCCCCTGAGGCTGGTTTAGAGGCAAGGCCTACTGGAATCAGAGATGGCTGGAATGATTTCTGTGGTTGTTGCTAGCAAGGTTTGTGAAAGATGCTGGTTTGGTAAAATCAGGCGTGCCTCCCTCCTTCCCTCTGCTCTCTTCTCTGCCTGTGCTCAGAGTGGTTGGGGGACCCCAGGATTTCCCCTGGTGTTGGAAGGGAGAGAGAACTAGCACTCACTCCCTGCTTCCTCTCGATTTCCCCCTGAAGAAGGCTTTGTGTCCTCAGCTGCCTGGATCGGCCCCAGCCCGGTCCCTGAGGGACCGGGCTGTACAGGAAGTTTCCATTGGCCACTTCAGTGCTGGCCATTTTGAGCAGGGCAACAGAAAAGTTGCTATTTTTAAGAGCGGGGAGGGCGCAGGGGGCACTTGGCGGCATTTCCCGGAAGGCCCGGGTGCTGCCATCATCCTCTTGGCTCAGGTTTGCTGCTTCCCGGGCCTCCAAAGAGGGCCAGCTTCCGGCAAACAGGAAGCCCCACCACAGGCTGAGCCTTTGCTGGCCTATCCAGGAGGGAGGGAGGGTGGGAGGGAGGCCATGTTCCTTTTGCTTCTCCTCCTCCTTGGCTGCCCCAGAGCCTGGGGAAGGGGTGGGGAGAAGGAGGTAAAAAAGAGAGCTCCCAAAGCTTGCCTTGCTTCCTGGGCACACTCGGGGACTTGGTGCGGCAGCCTCGGTCGGCTTTGCCCACCTATTCTAAGGCCTTGCGGGGGCCATGTCCTGGGAGCCCTCAGGTAGGGGGCAAACAGGAGGGACTCATCCCATGGCCTTAGCCACCTTGGCTCTGGGCTTAGCCTGGCTCGGCCTACAGGATGACACCTCCCTAAGCATCACAGGGAGCAGCTGTTGTTGATAAGAAACCTGGATCTGTAGTCCAGGGGCCCTGAATTCAAATCCTCTCTCTGTGTGACTGGGCAAATCACTTTTTCTGGGCTTCAGTTTCCTCATGTGTAAAATGAAGGGGTTGGGGAAGATTATCTCCTAAGATCTGTGGTCCTCTTCCCTTCCCTTCTCTTTCCTTTTTTCTTTTTCTTCTCTGTCTCAGGCCTTCTCTGTTTGTGCTCCCCTCACCCACTCCTGCCCCAGCCTCCAGTGCCTTTTCCATGGTTGCCATGGCCCTGGATTTGGATTTGTCTTGTATATGCCTGAATATGTACATATTGACTCCCCCTTTAGATGTAAGTTCCTTGAGGGAAGACCTTTCATTTTCGTCCTTGTATCTCTAGCACCTAGCACAGTGCCAGGCACTTAGGCTGTTGATATGTGCCTGTTGTTTGATTTTTTTTTTCTGCATTAGACTTCTCTCTGTTTCACTGTCTGCATACTTCCCTGACTGTACGGCTTTAGTTGGGCCTCTAATTGTCTCTGCAGCCCCTGATGGGGGTTCTGTGTCTTTCTTTGGGGCACTCACCTGCTATGTCCCTCAGAGCGTGAAAGCTGAAGTGGGCTGGACCGTGTCAGGCCGAATCTCCCACGTCAGCCAGTCAGGCACTCGTCTCTGTGGTTCCCGGTGTCATCGGGGCCAGAACATCCATTACCCACCCAAGGCCCTTGCCTGTCCAGGCGACAGCAGTTCCATCATTGCTAGTTCCCTGGCCTTCACCCTGGGCCTCAAGGGCACACACAGCTCGGCCTCCTCCAGGATCCCCTTCCCTGTGAAGTCTGGGGTGCCTGGACCCCCTAGGGTCTAAGAGAGAAAGAAGTACTTGCCAAAAGCCTATTTTTTTTCCCAGCTGGCAAATAAAACAAAACACCAGAAAGGAGTCAAAGGGACAAGTAATCCACAGACTTCCATTACGGGGAGGATTTTACCCTCAGACCCTGTGTTCAAGACACCTTGAGGTCCTGGATTGGAGCAGAAAGCCAGAAGACAAAGCATGTCACACTGAGAGACAGAAAAACAGAGTTTGTCAGACAGGCAGACAGACAGACATGGAGAGGCAGAAACCTAGAACAGCTTGGAGAAACGGAGATGGAAACACAGAGAGCTATAGACTGGGAGACAGAAACAGTTGGAGAGAGAGGGAGAAGGAAACAAAGACAGAAACGGGGATGTGCAGAAAGGGCAACAGGCATAGAGAGGAAGAGAAAGACAGGCTTGAAGATGGGTACAGAACACTCAGAAAGGGATGAATGGAATGAGAGACAGACCTTTGTGGGGGGGCAGCCACCTCAATGGGAAGGAATTCGTGAGGCCAGGCTGGGTCACCCCAAATGAGTCCCATCCAGTGGGGGTGTGGGCAGGTCTCGGGGGGAGGAGATGAGATAAGCCACCCACAGTAGTGGGACCACAGCTGGGGCCGGCACGCTCCAGAAACGTGCCTCAGAGAAGAGAAGGGCCCGACCCTACCCGATAATGGGGGATGAAGATAAGGGCCCTGAGGGAGGTTCAGCTGGTCTTCAAGGCTGCACCTCACTGCTCCCCCCAGCCCAACTGGTTGAGCTGGACCTGCCCCACCCCCCACTTAATAGGAACTCCAGGGAGCTCTGGGGATCCCGGGAAGGGGGGGCAGGCAGAAGGGGAGTAAAGCTGCCCAGAGACTGGTGGACCACCCGCATGAGCAGGAAGGAGGGCAGGGCCTTGCTGAAGGTGGGACCAGGACTCTAAAGCACCCGGAGCAATGCTAGTCCTGCCTCCAGGGCCAGCCTTCTCTGGCCCCCTATTACCGCTGGTAGCCTGGCCTTGGGCCGAGCAGCCAGACAGACTGCGGGAGTTGGGGATGGAGTGAGGGGTCGGGGAGAAAGTAGGAGCTTCTCAAAAGCAGGGTTTGAGTAAGGAACTGAAAGGTGGGCAGGCTGTCTGGGCACAAGGGTCATGGGAGGCGTTCTCAAGAAGCTCCTGGTCTTGGGAGCAGCTAGGTAGAGCAGTGGATAGAGCACGGGCCCTGGATTCAGGAGGACTTGAGTTCAAATCCAGGCTCAGACACATAACACTTACTAGCCGTGTGACCCCAGGCAAGTCACTTAACCCCCATTGCCCAACACCCCCCCCCAAAAAAAAGAAGCTCCCAGTCTAATGGGAGAGA